GTTGTCTTTGAAGAAATAATCAAACTAATCTAATCAGATTAAATTAGAAAAGAAAACGAAGTTCCTATATACATGTATATAAAAGTTATTATAAAACTAAATGTTGTGTGCGGAATAGAGGAATAGAGGAATAGCGGAATAGCGGAATAGAGGAATAGCGGAATAGCGACCGACCGACCGGAATACATTTTGACATGCTCCCTAATAATAACACGCATACGCTATCAAAAACAACTAATTGTAGGTCGTTGCGCATTTGGTATCGATACAGATATGCAAAATGATGTGGAGAATATATATTTGAAAAAATCGGTTGCTTGCTTTGAAATGGATATTGAAAAATTGCGTATTGTCCAACTGTCCAATGTGATGCCATTTCTCATCCCAATACTGACCCAAATCTTCAAGGCGCATATTATCATAAGCAGTACGCTGCACAAATTGCTACCTAATCGAACCTCTGATACCGGTGATATACCTGCTTTATGGATTATAGAACAATTGGAAGAAACAGTGAAGAAAAGATTGACGTCCGAGAATAAACGAGTAGATCTGTTGCAATTACTATTGGATGCAGCGACGCAAGACGAAGTCAAAGTTAGTTCGAGAAAAGAAATCTAATCAGAAAGAGAGATTTTACATTGTAACCTGAAGGAATTGCGCTGATAAACTGTGTAAGAACGGTCTTTTTTTTTGTTGGGTTTGTCCAAAATAATTGCTAAATTGAGTGTTCTCTAACTTTCACGAAAAGTAGATATCTATTAGTAAATATAATTTGTGCTAAACTCATAATTTCCAGTTGATTCTTGTATGATCTGAAGTTTTCCAATCCTTTCTACAAAAAACTGAAAGTTAATTCCCATTGCTGGCAACGAAAAAAATACCAGTTCGTTCAGATGAATCGTCTAAAAAAAAGCCGAAAACTTATTTTTTTTGTTTTAGATAGTTGGTCTTAAGAAAATAAAATAGTTTTCCTGGTCCATAAATAGAAATCGGAAGTCTATCGATATGTTTGTAATGTCTTTTAGGATCACCCAACAAACGAATTGATGTCAAAGAAACTACATTACAATGAAGTAGTGATGAATGTTTTGCTCTTCATGCTTGCCGGCTTCGAAACGACGTCAACTACTCTAGCATATTCTACTTTTGTTTTGGCTACAGAACCTGACATTCAAAAGAAACTGCAGGCAGAAATCGATGAAAATTGGAAAGAAGACTCTGAAAACATCGATTACGATGTAGCAGCTAATATGCCATATATGGATTTGTTCATACGGGAGGTTCTTCGAATGTACGGGATTTCAGGCCAGGCAATCACTCGAGAAAGCAATGCTCCAACGAGTGTTTGTGGTCATCAGATTGATAAAGGTTAGTGAATCTTTAGAAATTTCTTCCTATTGTGCCAAATATCTAAAATTGACCTCTGCAACAACTGTAAAAGTGTAACGGAAAATTATTTAGGTGTTGCTTATTTTACATTTTTGATCGAGACACCGACGACTTTTATCCAAAAACTTTTTTTCACTTCTCAAGTTAATTTTCACAGAAAACAGATGAGTGAACTATGATAACCAGGAAAACGCTCGACCAAGCAAATAGAATTGTCAAATATTAGAAATAATCATCACTCAGGAATTTTTCCTTCACATTTCTTGAAAATTGACTAAGGATATTGTTTCTCGTTGTGCAGGTTGTGTAATCCTGCCCGATGTCTACTCCATTCACTACAATGTTGATCTCTGGGGTCCAGAAGATCCTAAAATCTTTGTTCCCGAACGTCATTCTGTCAAACGTCATCCTCTCGCTTACATGCCATTTGGCGTGGGACCTCGAAATTGTGTGGGAATGAGATTCGCTTTAATGGAATTGAAAATGTGTTTGGCACGTCTGTTGCATACATATACAATTCAACCTGGTGATAAATTCAAAGAAGGCATGACTCTAACGGAAAAATTAGTAATTACACCACAGGCCATCAATGTACGGCTCGAGAAACGGCTGAATTAGATCGAACAGAGAACTTTGTATTTAGTTACCATCATCTTATGTTTGAACAAAATAAATATTTTTAACGTATAATCTCGGATGAAATTTTCAAAAAGTTTCACAGTGCGAAAACAGACTACTTGTCGGACGTGTGAATCGATTGAATGAAAGAAGATAACATCCAATGTTTATGTTCACCTGGTTCTTTTTTGCCTGATGTAGTGTAATTTCTACAATTCCCCAAAATGGCAGAAATGAGCTTTCCTCCCTCCTCTGTTCCTATCTTAATCGAAAGAGTGCATCTATTTCGAACGACGATATCGCTGTAGATCTAGTATTAATGACTAAGACTGAAGCAACGATGCAGTCGAAAACTTTTCGAGAGGTCAGATGCGGCAGAAAATTGCTTTTTTGCTAGATAAAACAAATCATTGGAGAATGGAGAAATAAGTCAATCATCAGAAAAGAGCTGTGCCCCAAGTACATCGTAGGTAGAGATGTGTGAGAGGAAGTTTTTCGAATCCGGTTCCAGTCTCGATCCCGACAAAGGAGCCTTTTTCAGTCCCGGTAAAGCTGGTCCCGTTCCTGCCAGAGTTTTCGAAACGACGTCAACTCTCTGTTTTTTTTGGTCCCGATTTTGTCCATGTCTAATCGTAGGTCTGGATAGAGCTTCGAATCTGACTCTGAAGAAGTATCATTCTTGAGACAAATGATTGTTTAGTGATTAAGCTTTCCTTTCATCAACCTTTTTCTAATATCCAAAAAACTAATTGATCACTGATTCCTAATAAAACACCCCACTAACATCGCTATGCATAGCGAAAAGTCATTGCAATCATCTACCAGATCAAATTCATCATATTTTCTGCTTTCGCCAATTGAATACATTCATTTCTTCTTCTATACCAACCGTTAAGGAATAACAGATGTGTGTTTTATTTATTTTCATTCATGCAGACAAGCAAAATATAACAGGGAAAAATAATAGGTGAAAAACTGACACACGCGGCGAATGCGATAGACAATTAAAAAATAAACCAAGATAGTTTAGATTGTCTGCTTTTATTGTTATTTTACTTTTTTTTTGTGTTTGATGCTGCTTTATTTTCACCGCTTGTCTATTTAAAGATTTTGCCTTGATTGAACTTTTTACCACTGTGTTCGCCTTCCTAAAGAAAGAATTGATTGACTATTTGTTTTTCATCATCAATAGATGATCGTTTCCATGAATACAAATCATAATCAAGTTGCCAGTCAGCTAGGCAGATGAAAGTGGATGAAAGCTATATATTTCTAAAAAAAAGAAAATCATACAAAGATATTTTGACAAAAGGATATTTGTTATTATTACAAGTTGTGTACTACAAACTAGCAGAAAAACTGGAGCAGGCGGCTTGTCTAACGGCTTCCATTTTTTGCTCTTTTTCCAAAAGTTATTGCAATAAAGCTACAAACTAATCGCAAATGGCAACTAGATAATTGAGTAGATTAAACATTTCTCTACAAAATGAAAAGTGTCTCGGCTCTGAACGTTGATTCGTTATGAAACACTAGAAAATTGTGTGCAAGCTCCGCGCCGGACCAAACTTTATGAAACTAAGATGGTATATGCAGAATTTCAAGGCGAATCCGACAGCGGGCTTCTTATAATTACATCTTGAGTTTTTCATGTGTCGCCACAGTCTCTAC